TCAGGGAGGGAGAGAGAAGAGAGAAAGAGCTGAGGTTGTTTCAGGGTTCAACTAGAATCACTGAGATTCTGTGAGGATCTGTGGGTTCATGTAGAAGATGCAGAAGCTTTAGGAACACATGTGGAACAGACTGTATGCACAGCTCCGTTAATGAATACGTGTGTGTGTGTGGTTTAGGATTTAAGTGTCTTAACATAACAATTATTTCCTATTTACATAATAGAGAACAGCTTTTTACAGCATCTCTCTCGGCACATATGCAGACTGAAATTTGATCCTCAGATTTGATTCTTATGCTGTTGTTTTTTCATCAAAGACAATGCTGTTTGTACTAAAACTGATTGCTAGTGTTGTAAAAACTCTTTTTAACACAAACTGCATACATGCATAAATTACAGAATGAGGAATTCAGGCAAAATGTCATTGAATGTTTTTAAAAGTAACGTAAAGAAAAACGCCTCTTATCTTTGTGCAAGTCACACAACAGTATTTTCAAATGTTTGTGTTTGTAGTGCAGCTCTGAAATGTTTCAATGTACATGCGAATCTCTCTGCAATTTTTCAAAATGGAGAAACTGATTTTTAAATCTTCAATACATATTATTTTTAGCAAAACATGAAATCTATGCATCTTAATATTTCCTCACAGATAAGGAAATTGCAGATGCTTGTGTTTTTATCTATTTGTGTGTGTGTGTGTGTGTGTGTGTGTGTGTGTGTGTGTGTGTGTGTGTGTGTGTGTGTGTGTGTGTGTGTGTGTGTGTGTGTGTGTGTGTGTGTGTGTGTGTGTGTGTGTGTGTGTGTGTGTGTGTGTGTGTGTGTGTGTGTGTGTGTGTGTGTGTGTGTGTGTGTGTGTGTGTGTGTACACCAATACCTCTGTGCAAATGTACGAATGCAATAGATACATCAGTATGTGTGTGTTTTTGTGTATATGTTCCTTTCTTTGTAGTCCATGTGGTTTCCCATTTTGTAAAAAAAAATATAAATAATAATATCTTAATTCCTGAAAAGAGCCGTAAAGCTTATAACACATTCTGCTCACATTCTCTGGGTCAAAACAAATTAAATAATGACCATACTGCTGTAAACCATAAGGAAAGGTTTGAAATATTTGACTTGTTTGTTAATGTGTATGAGAGCGAAAGACAGAGAAAGAACTTGTAGTTTCTGTGGCACACACACGCGCACACACCAACATCAAAGCAGAGATTGGTTTCAGGAAATGTTTTATTATCTCTTCTCTTCCAAAGCTGCTAATCACAACTCCTCTCTTTCATCTTTGCGTCCCCCCTTTCCACCCCTCCAATTGCTTTCTCTCTATCCCCCTCTCTCTGCCACACTCTAACCCTCCCTCCTGTGTGCAGAGGTATCTGGGCGCTGGAAAAGTCAGATAGAAAAGACGAAACATGTGGAAATAAACATGAAGAGTAGATCTGAGTCCCCCTGTAGATTCCACTTTTCCTCTTTTTTCATTCTCCTATCTCCTCTCTCTGAGGCTAAGGAGCAGTACGATGATTCTCCTGGAGAATCCACAACACCCCGACAATTCCCACATTCAAAGTTGTTAGAAATATTGGAAATACTGGGAATATACAACCTGCAGGTGGCGAGACAGCATGGAGCTCGACAAAACAGCAAGCAGCGGGGAAACCTCGTCCCAATCATTCCCAAATCATTCCACAACAAAGGACAAGGGCCTCGGAACTGCCATAATCCCGTATTTTACTGCTGAGCTGAGATGGGCTCTGCTGTACTGCGTGTGTGTGTGTGTGTGTGTGTGTGTGTGTGTGTGTGTGTGTGTGTGTCTTCTGGTGGGGAGCAATGTGAACTTCATTGACTCCCACATGCACAGAGGGATGAAATCAGAAAGAAGTCGTCTCTGTCAGATGCAATAAAGAAACGTCCACATGTGCACAGTCCCCCATCCTTCACACTTTGAATACACCCAACACCACAACATGAATTAGCTATGGTCTTATAAAAAGGAGAGAAACAGATGCACCGGGGTTTATTTGGCAAATTCAAACCGTAAACTCAAATGAGATATTGCAAAATTAATTTTCTGACACCGTTCCATTCCCCTCTGTAACATCCGTTTGTTAATTTTTCACAAAAGGATTCAGAAAAACATGAGTCCTTTTGTACAGCTTCCTCAGATGGAGATCTATGGCGATGTGAACAAAAGACACTCCTTCAATGACAAGTGCCAAGTGCATCAGCCAGTCCTCCTTTTCAAGTAATTCCAACCCTGGCTATTCAGGGTTTGCCCTGTGGCGAGACCGAGCACTTCGTTCTCCAGAAATAGCCATAGCTCATCTTTCACAGGGACTCAGGTCGTCTTATCACGGGGAGAGAGGTTCATTTGAATTTCTGTCTCTTCAATATGCCTGGCGATCGTGATGCCCGGTTAATATTGAAGTTCGGGGAGCGCTTGGTGTTGCTCTCCCCGCAGGCTGTGTGGCAGGCAAAAAGAACTTGTAAGTTGCCATCAAATATCTTATCACATGACTTCATCTTCCAGCGATGGCAAGCAGTCGCACCTCAGCAGCTCTTCAAGAGAATTCATGATATCCAAAATGTGTTGCCCTGATAGTTTTTTTTGTATTGGTGTTGTGGTTCTAAAGGAGAAGCAGCCGGCTAGTTCCTCTCCGCCTGTCCACATGTACCAAGACATTTACAATAGTAATGATGTATAGCCTTCAACCTGGTTTGTCTTTACGGATTAAGATTCCTTTAATGTTTATGCTTGAATACTCAAACGCTTAAAGCTAAATAATGTTACGCCTCTGGCTACAGACAGAGGTTTGGTTTGCTTTTCTGTTTGTTGTCCACCACACCTCATGAAGTCTGATTCTGCCTTTGTTCCTTGTTCACAGCAGAACAGCCAACATTGGCTTACCATATCTAATTAACACCCAAACACACCTTGACAACTCCTCCATGACACTCACTCAGCTGAAATCTTTTTAGAGTAACACAAAAAATTCCACACTTCAACTGAAAAGAGAGGCGTTTTTCTTGATACATTTAAGATAAAAGACATGGCAGTCATTTTCTCCCATGACATATTTGTTCTTTAACAACAAATCAATGGCTGTGAAAGCTTGGCACCTGAATACAGAACAATGGGGAGATGAAGCGAAGATTGTCTTCATTAGGCACATTAATATTCATAGAAAGTAGAAAATCTGACACCACGGAGGACTTGTTAACCTTTTCTCGTATTAGATTTTTTTTTTCAACTTCTTAACACAATTAAAGTCCAGCAATGACTTAATTAATGCGCCTTTCTGTCAGGCGCTTTAAAGAACTGTCAATTTGGCCTGGGTCTGCCTGTCAGCGCGGAAGAAAGACAGTCATCCCACTCGAACAGGAGACAGTCGGAATCACAGTGCCGGATAAAGTCACATTCTCAGACACCTTGCCAAATTGATTCTTTTAAGGGTTTTCTTGCAGATTACCATTTCTTCCCTCCTGTCTCTTATTCTGCATGAGTGTCAAATCTAACAGAAAATCTAAATTCTGTTTTAGGTTCTGGCTATTACCACCCTCTCCTATTGTGCCTGATGTGGCTGATATACTCTGTAAAATTAGGATTTGAATGAAACATTTCTTGTGCAAGACAGTGTCCTTTTTCCTCAGAGCTCCGAATCAATTACCTAGCAACCGGGAACAGTACGGCGTCGTTGGAGCGCGCTGCCCACTCCAAAGTTACTGAAGTAACATCAATTATTTGCTTGCATGAAGTTACTGAACATTTTATTCTTGCTATGTGTTTTCCTAACATGCCCACATGACACATGTAAGCTGTAACACATCATTACTATTGTAAATGTCTTGGTAAATGTGGACAGGCTGAGAGGAACTAGTCGGGTGCATTTCCTTTAGAACCACAACACCAATAACACCAAAAGGAATGTATGTAGAAAAAGAAAAACAAGACTTTAAATTAAGATTAATGTTGTTAGAGGCCGTTTGTTTTAGTTTTGTGAAAAGGTCAAATAATATTGTCACCTTGCGGCAACCTTTGTGGTCAATGGACTATAAAATACTACAATTCCCTTGTCTGCAAAGTCTAACATAGTGTGTTATATAGGTTTTTGTGTGTGTAAATGGTCTGCAAAGGCTAACATCACTGTGTTCCTCCAGAGGGAGTTTCTCTCCCACACACC